TATTAATTTTATATCATACCTCAGTCTCTCTTATTTATTATTGATGCATCATATCACTATTTGGGGTTGCTTATCATGATTTTTGAGAGCCCAAGAGACTGGAGAGGTTGATGACTGAGTGAGACCGGGGGCCTAATTGTGAGGATATTTATGGATCGGGCTGCACGCCGCAACATGTTTATTGATTTATGCCATGATTGGCTTGATATAGCGCTTGGGCTCCCTCCGTAGTCTGTACACACCCCCAGTGAGCGCAGGTACCTACTGAGTGCGAGTGCCGAGTGATGAGTGACTGTGAAGAATGAGTTACTATGAGGAAAAAGTGAATGTGAGGAAAGAGTGACTGTGAGGTTAGAGTGAATGGGAGGACTGAGAGACTGTTACTCTGAGAAGGTGCATTATTTTCATTATTTGCTGCATTTCAGCTGTCATATATCATTTTTTTGAAAATTTCGGGAAACAAAAATATTGTTTACTGTTTTGGTCAAACTTGATATGAAATTTTAGTGAAAATCTTAAATGTTAAACATGAGAGCATGACTACTCGTTTATATTGAAAAGTATTGTATTTGGACTTAGCTGAGTAGCTTGTCACTACTTTCAGTTCTTTATTTATTATTATTACTTACTGAGTTGGTTGTACTCATACTACACCCTGCACTTCGTGTGCAGATCCAGGTGATCCCGGATACAGTGGGTGTTGATTCTTTTACACAGTTAATTTTTCAGAGATTTAGAGGTAGCTGCTATGTTTCGCATACCTTGTCTCTCCTTCCCTATCATTTTGTTTATTATATTTGGTCTCATATTATTATAGACTGTATTCTCCAGACTTGTAATATATAGATGCTCATGTACTCAGTGACACCAGGTTTTGGGGAGTGTTGTATCAGTATTTGTGGAATTTTGTATTGTATTTAAATATTATATATTTCAAACTTAAAGGAAATCAGTGGTTATTGATGTTATCGACTTGCCTAGTATGGAGATAGGCGCCATCGCGACAGGTCAGATTTTTGGTCGTGACATGAAATTCAGTCCCCGAATTTAACTCAAGTACGTACCTGTAGACTAAAACAAATGGGGGTACTTCGTTTGTATATCTTTTTCTACTTCCCAAGTAGCTTCTTCAACTATATGATTTTGCCATAAGACTTTTACGAACTCAATTTTTTTTGACCGTAGCTTTCTTACTTGCCTATCAACAATAGCCATCGGTTCCTCTTCGCAAGACAACTTCTCATCAAGCGGTATAGCAGGTGCTTCAAGCACCTGAGATGAGTCTGATATACATTTCCTTAGCATTGAGACATAAAACACTGGATGAATAAAGGACAACTCAGGAGGAAGTGCCAAACGATAAGCCACAGCTCCCACTCGGTCTAGTATCTCATACGATCCTATAAACCTAGGGCTCAACTTGCCTTTTTTCCCAAACTGTATCACACCTTTCATAGGGGAGACTCGTAGGAACACTTTGTTCCCAATTTTGAACACTAAATCTCTTCTTCTCTTATCAGCATAAGACTTTTGTGTACTTTGAGCTGCAAGCAATCTTTGTTTGATCAATTGGACCTTGTCCATAGCTTCTTGTACTAGGTCAGGTCCCAATAACTTAGTCTCACCAGCTTCAAACCATCCGATAGGAGAACGACATCTTCTACCATACAATGCTTCATACGGTGCCATTTGAATACTGGACTGGAAGCTATTGTTATAAGCAAATTCAGCTAAAGGTAGATAACTTTCCCAACTGCCTCCAAACTCAAGAATGCAAGCTCTCAAAATATCCTCCAAGATCTGTATAGTACGTTCAGACTGCCCGTCTTTCTATGGATGAAATGCAGTACTAAGATCTACTCGTGTACTCAATGCTTCTTGAAAAGATTTCCAAAAGTGTGAAGTGAACTATGATCCTCTATCAGAGATGATGGATACTGGAACTCCGTGAAGTCGGATAATTTTGTTCATAAATATCTGTGCATACCTCACTCCACCATATGTAGTCTTCACTGGCAAAACGTGTGTTGATTTTGTCAGTCGAAGTACAATTACCCACACCGAATCATAACCTCTAAGGGTTCGTGGTAGACCAGTAAAAAACTTCATAGTAATTCTTTCCCATTTCTGCTGTCGAATCTCAATTTGTTGTTGTAGTCCTGCGGGTCGCTGATGCTCAGCCTTGACCTGCTGACAAATCAGACAACTAGAAACAAAGTTAGCAACATCTTTATTCATACCTTCCCACCAATAAAATTTCTTTAGGTCATGATACATTTTTGTAGATCCAGGATGTATAGTGTATCTAGAGTTGTGAGCTTCTTTAAGAATAGCATGCCTCAACCTATTTACGTCTGCGACACATAGTCTGTTAGCCATTCGAAAAAAACCATCACTTTCAACAATCATATCCTTCCATTTACCAGCTAAGGCCTCATCTCTGTATTTGCAAAATCGCTCATCCTCATATTGGGTAGCCTTAATGCGCTCAACTAATGAAGACTTAGCGTGAGCACAAGCCAATAATGCCTCTGATTCTCCGACACTAAATCTGATACCCGCACCTTCTAGTCTTTGAATATCCTTGGCCAAAAGTCTCTTTGTAGGATCTATATGTGCCAAACTCCCCATAGATTTTCTACTCAATACATCAGCCACCACATTGGCTTTCCTGATGATACAAAATAGAACAGTCATAGTCCTTGAGTAGTTCCATCCACTGACACTGTCGAAGATTTAGATCTCTCTGCTGAAAGATATACTTCAGACTTTTATGGTTAGTATAAATCTCACAAGTTTCACCGTATAGGTAATGCCTCCAAAGTGTAGGATAGTTTTGCTCGTGCTTTTTCAATTGTTTCGAAGCATAAGCTATAACACGACCATTTTGCATGAGAACACATCCTAATCCCACCCTCGAGACGTCACAGAATACTGTAAATCCTCCGGAATATGATGGTAAGCCTAATATTGGTGCAGTTGTCAAACATGTTTTGAGTTTTTGAAAGCTCTACTCATATTCCTCCGTCCACTGAAACTTTGCATTTTTCTGTGTTAGTTTGGTCAGTGGCGCTGCTATTCTGGAGAAATCCTGCACAAAACGCCTGTAATAGCCTGCTAAACCTAAAAAGCTGTGAATCTCTATAGGAGAAGTAGGCTTGGGCCATTTCTGCACAGCTTCGGTCTTCTTAGGATCTACCATAATTCCATCCTTGGATACAACATGTCCCAGAAATGCTACCAAGTCTCACACTTCGAGAACTTAGAATAAAGTCGATGTTCTCGTAATGTCTGCAACACAGTCCTGAGATGATCCTCGTGTTCTCCTTGGTTACGAGAATATATCAGGATATCATCAATAAATACTATTACAAATCTATCCAGAAACGGCTTGAACACCCTATTGTTATCTTGTTCAACTGCCTGTAGCCAATGCACATTCTCAGGGACCCGTCGTTTTTCTTTACGAACAATACTGGTGCACCCCATGGAGATATACTCGGTCTGATAAAACCCTTATCTAACAAATCCTGTAGTTGTTGTTTTAGCTCCTTCAACTCTGCTGATGCCATCCGATATGGCGGTATTGACATGAGTTGTGTGTCAGGTGGCAAATCAATACCAAAATCTATTTCTCGTACTAGAGGCAATCCTGGTAAATCCTCAGAAAATACATCAGAAAATTCTCTCACTACTGGAACATTTTCTATACTAATTGTTTCCTTTCTTGTATCATTTACAATAGCTAAGAGACCCAAGCAAACTTTCTTCAGAAGTCGTTGAGCCTTCATAAAAGATACAACTTTGCAAGTCTCTGGAACCTGGCCCCCTTTTAGAACAAAACTAGGTTCGTTTGGTATCTCAAACTTGACTATCTTTGCATGACAATCGACGATAGCATAGCAAGAAGATAACTAATCCATTCCCATCAGCATGTCAAAGTCAATCATATCAAGTACAATAAGGTCAGCTAGAGTATCTCTACCCCAAACTCGAATCTGACAAGCACGATACACGTATTCAGCTAATAGAGACTCTCCAACAGGAGTAGCAACTAGAAAAGGATCATTCAATAGCTCAGGCTATCTACTAAACCTCAAAGAAAAGTACGAGGACACATAGGAGTGAGTAGATCCCGGATCAATCAATGCACGTGTATCAAATGAACAGACATAAAGAATACATGTAACCACAACATTCGAGGCCTGAGCATCCTGTCTAGTAAATGTAAAAACTCACGCCTGACCTCTACCAGCATTCCCTTATCCTTAATTCATAGTAGCACGGTCCCCAGCACCTCGAACTCTATTTCCTGTACCTGTAGCACCTGAAGTATTACGAGTAGTCTGAGTAGGTACAGCTGACTGAATAGAAGCCTGGTTGAAATTTCTTAGAGGCTGAGGGCAATACCTCAAGTGATGTCCCAACTGGCCACACCGAAAGCACTTTTCAGTTAGAATACGACACTGGCCCAAATGTGATCTACCACAGGTCTGGCAGACTGGAGTAGTGGCATATATCTGCCCAGAATTACGATGTCTAGATGCTGACGGTCCCCTAGTACCCTGTCTGTAATGTGGTCTGTGTGTGGACTGTGAAAAGAGGTGTGTCCCTATCATAGAACCCTGTTGTTGTTGTCCCTGATTTCCTGCTCTTCGATTTTCACTAAAACTGCCACTGAAAGACCCTCCTGTCTTAGCCTTCTTACGTACATCACTAGTTGTACACTCCTCAGGTCCCTTGTTTTCAATCTTTCTAGCAAGGTCGACTGCAGCAGAGCAGGATAAAGTCTTCATCTGTGGGGCTACTGCAGTGTATAGACGACCAACCAATCCATCAACAAATCTCTGAACTCGAGCTTCTTCAATTGGCACTAAGTAAGGAGCATATCTAGCCAGCTTACAAAACTTGGTGTTATATGTTGACACATCCATATCTGGAGTCTGAACCAATCTCTCAAAGTCTCTTGCATATTTTTGCATCAGGTTGTCTAGAAGAAAATGATCCATGAACAACTTACTGAACTTTTCCCATGTCAGTGGTGCTGCTCCTGCTGGCCTTCCTAGCAATACCGTTTCATACCATGTGTTGGCCATATCCTCTAGTTTGTATGTTGCGAGCTCCACGGCTCTCTCACTAGAACATCCAAGAGCATGTAATGCCTTGAGTGTCCCATCCAAGAAACTTTGAGGATCTGCTGAATTATCGGAACTTGTGAATTTTGGTGATTTTAATTTTAGGAACTCTTGCAGGGATACCACCTTATTCCCGAAAGTGTGAGTCTGTGCAGGTGCTTGTGTTTGTAAAGTAGCCTGAGGAGATGAACTTACACCCTGAGTAGGCACTAATTCCTCTAACACATTCAATAACTTTGTCACTACATCTGCAGGTAAGGCAACAGTAGGTACAACAGTTGGCACTGGTAGTGGAGCGTCCTAAACTCCCTTCCCTTGCACTTGATCTGGCATAACAGCTTGGGGTTGACCCATGTTCCTAACTTCAGGTTGAGGAGTAACTTGTCTTCTAGTTTGATGAATGCCAACTTGACCGCCACCCCGGGTAGCACCACGTCCAGCAGATGAGGGTGTGCGTGTCCTAGCCATCTGCAAAAGAAATATTCCAAAGTCAATCTCAAGTTATCTCAACACACGATCAAAGAATGAAAGAAGGGAGAACATTCCTAGATGTTCAGTAGCCTCAAGATCATAAGTGTGGGCGCCTACATACCCATGAACAAGACTCTACTAAATATTTCTCTATGACTCGGGACTTAAAGTCTAAGCTCTGATACCAACTTTGTCAGGACTCAATTTAGGATCATGACCGACACTTAGGAGCAAGTTCCCCCAAGTAAGCCTTATCGGTATTTTACAGAAAGTCGGACAGAGTTTTCCCTATTTTTGGACTATCCAAAATTTTTCCTATCTCAAAATCAACAACCAACCATCCTAATATCTAACCAAACAATCGACAACTTATCAATTAACCAAAACAAGTCTCCACCATTACTAATCAACCCACTAACAATCAAAAATATTAAGTTATCTGAAACTTTAATAGTAAAGAACGATACTCAACATAAGACTATAATAAAAAAAAAGAATACTCATGATACTAAAATATTGACTATGGAGAGACTCTAAGAGTTCAAATAAAGACCATAACAATAAATAAAATCTCCGCCCATACGAAAAAGTGCAAGGCTCACCAAGAACAATCAACCTGTGCGTTCTAATTAACGAAATCCTCGCCCGCGTCAACTGCTATTTCTGTAAAAAGAAAATTAGCGGAGAATGAGTTGCTAGCTTAGTGAGTAATAACACTTAACCACAACCGTTTTATTTTATTGGGGACAAGGCAGAAAACATGTTAGTATGGCAAAAAGAAAATAACATAAAAATGCCCTTTCATAAACAATAAATAATTTTCAGTCTCATAATATTTTTATTGTAGTATAATACAATTAACAATTCAATAATAAGCTCGGTAACCACTGTATAATATCAATATTCACATTTGGGAGGTTTCAATGAACGGATCATGTAATTGATATAACTATGAACTTCTTCGCAAGAAGTTAAATATAACGGTAGTCCCTACTCGAGGGAAATCGGTAACGGTATGCTAGTTCTACCTTCCCACTAGTGAGGGCTATAACGGTAATCTGTAATTACAAGGTGCACCGGGTCTAACGAACCCGCCGTTAGCTATGGGATCCTTCAAAGTCTACTCCCATTTATACTTGTCTTTGTAATCCATATATACTCGTAGGAAAATATTTTAAAATAATGTAGGGCATATCGGTTCTTATCAAATCATGAAATTTCATTTCGATAACAATAATTTCAAGTAACAGTAAAACATATCTAGTGACAACGAAAATATTTAAAATAACGGTAATCATCCCAAATAACTATTTCGATATCATATCGAGTAAAAGACTTGTCCCACATGCAACTTAAAATAATCGATAACATATTCATATAAAAAGAATCATGTGTAAATCATGAAAGTTATGAAAACACAAATTGCGGTAAGATTACTACTCACAGTACTCGTGTCGAAATACCAAATGCTTCACCTCGAGCAATTCGTACAAATTCCTCCAATCAATCTATAATTACATAATATCGATCTCATGTTAATTTCCTTGTTTAGGCTAATTCATAGCTAATTTAGAATATCTAATTATCGGGGTTCATGTTTGAGTCTTAATTTGTGGATTTATATTTACCGACATATGAGTAATTTAAATTAGTCCAAAATCTTTTAAATAAAAAGGTATTTCTATGGTTTATTCCCTGTTCTGTTCAATTTCCTTAATCGTGTGCATAAATTGAAACTGAAATAACATTACTATCCATAATATTCCTTCTTAATTGGTACTTATCTTTTGTACTCAATACTAGACTTACCACATTCAAACCCAAATTCGATATTGTCATTGCAATACAGTTAAACACCAAAACGCAATCCTTGCACCTTAACTTAATTTATAACTAACAAAGATCATATATAATGAGACTAGTTTAAGTACAAATACATCAATACCCTTCTTTTTTCCAAGTGAATTTATCCTACAGTAACATTGACCAACTTCCAATTGCTTAATTTGCCTAGAATAACTCTTATTGGTATTAAATTTCTTATACCTTATGAAACCCTTCAAATATATGAACTGAGACAAAAAGAATTACCAGAAAAAAAGAACCCATATGAAAAATTCGAGTATTACCCGTAAGAACCAGTGCGTATTTAAGATTTTTCAAGATTTGGTTCCAGCCTCCTTCTTCTTCTTCTTCTTCTCCTTTTTGAAATTCTTTTTTTGCGTTTTCTGAAGCTTCTGCTTCAACCCTTTTTTTCCTTTCTTTCTTTGGTTTGTTTTTGATGTTTCCACATAATGGGCTTCGGCCCTTTTATTGAATCCTTATTCTCTTTTTTGTTTTGTTTTGTTTTTATAGTTAGTTTATTATTATTATTATTATTATTATTATTATTATTATGCTAAATGACCAATACACCCTTATTAAAAAAATATAGGGTATTACATATATTTTGTTAAATTAATATTTGGATAAAATTAGGGGAAGTTAATTATGGTTATAACTCCCCATTAACCCACTTTGATGGAAATTTGGAATTAAATGATGGTCCCTCTCTCCGCCTATTAAAAGAAGAATAGCGTAACTCCATTATATTCTATTCTGAAAAGAACACAGAAAAGGTAAAGAGAGAGAATACTGGTTTTCTCAAGAACAACAACTCTGAAGAAGGCTTCCACTCAATATTATCAAGAAAACACATCATGGATTCAGGTAAGTTTTCTTGATCGAAGTTATTGTATATGTATTTTATGTGAAAATTATATAGTTTCACGGTTCTAAATAATTGATAGGATTTTATATAGATTGTTTATGAAACCACAATCTAGAACATGAAAAATCCTTACATACTAATGTCATTTAAATATGATATTGGTTTCAATTAATCAGTTATACTCGTACTAAATTATATTCACATGACTATTTTCTGGGGTGGGGGGGTTTACTTTTAGCTCGCGNTATATATAAAAGATATATATTTTCGATTTATTATTTTGAGAGCAGATATACAGTGTCACATAATCTTTGGAGCATAAGAAGTCTTATTCTAGAAAATCACGTCTAAAGCATCAAATTCAAAACATTAAGAGGTTATTTGGTTCATGCACAAGTTATACACATGAATTCTAGATATTAGTAATGTAAGGAATGTAATGCAGGTATTATTCTGAAAGTTTGAAGTATTTGAGGAAAAATAAGATATAAGTCTGCCGAGAGATGATGGTATTTGTCTTTTGAATTGCTTAATTCATATATTATTTAATATTCTTATTTTTAATTTTATTCTATCCCGTATAAAATAATGTACATATACTAGTGAGAGTAAATATTCAGATTTGGAAGAGACATTATGTAACATGTTTAATTTGTCTCATATCTAGTTATCAAGAAACAGTACCATCACTTCTTCAATAGTTATGACATAATAATGAATTAGTTGCCCTGGGAGCGAGATATTGACAGTATTCAATTTGGTGCGTGTATTTGCTATTAAATGATTTTAGTCAAAGTAGAGACTTTCATTATTAGGTCCAAGAAACTTACTTCAATCCTTTAAAGGAACAAAACTTCCAGAAGATTTTAGAACAAAACTTTCAGAGATTCAATCCTTTGGTGCGTATATTTGGGTGAACCCCTTCCGCCCACCTAGTTCCGTCCCCTCAGTCAAATGAGAGTAGCTACCAATTGTTTCCATGTTTTAACATGTTAATAATCTCTTTAGAGTCTGTTTCAATTGTCGGTGGAGTAAAGTTATATAGCTATGTGAAATCCTGCATGTAAAACTCTTAATTCAGCAAGCATATTAGCGGTAAAATGGATTGTCCGGTTATATCCAATAACATACAAGATTTAAAGTTTATGAGTTTCAATAACGATTTCAGGTCAATATATCGTAATAAGTGGGTTCACATACAAATATTTATAAATATTTAATAAATCTTTTAATATATATATATATATAGAGAGAGTTTGACAAAAACAACTGAATACCCATAAACCATATTAATATTGTATAAGTGGGTCTATGTGGGTTTATGCGGGTGTAAGAATGTTTTCTTCTTATTCTTCCTGACTGTGATCACCATATGACCCATAAACTTGCCACAAATTGCTAATCCACTTTGGAAAAAAATAAAATATAAACAATTTGCTTATTATATTAATACAAATTTTATGATATAGTTCGTCAAAGATAATAAGTTAATACTATTGGAGATTTGAAAAGAATATTTTCACAAAAACTAAGACATAATAATCTGTTTTTGTGAAAAATTGAATTGTGGTGTAAAGACCTATAGTGAGTTATTATTTGTTAATTTGTTGTTGGGTTATACACAAGTCATTAAGGGGTATTAAAAATAATATTACAGTAATGTGAATACCATTTTACAATGAATATTAAATTAATATATTAAGGGGTCATTTGCGTTTTTCACAATGAGCAGCAAATACTTGCTTTTCTTTTTTAATTGAAGGTTCAGTACTTAAGCAACAAAAGAATTTTCAATTTTTTGGTTGATAAAATTGAAAATTCCAGCCAAAATATAAAAAGGAAATAAGCAAACAAATTTGTTTTTAGAAAAAACACTTATGCGGTGCGGGGCGGGCGGGTGGATGCGGGTGTGTGTGGGGACGGGTGGACGCGGTAAAAATACTATGCAGAATGGAACGGGTTGAGATATTTGCGGGTTTATGCGGGTTTGCTCCCGTAACAGCCATCGCACCACCTGCCATCCCTAATTGGTGGGGTTTTTCTCTACTTAATTTGAGTATTTTATCTACTCTTTCTATAAGGCTAAACAAGAAAATGAACAAGACAAAATAAATGGAAAAGGAAAACAACAGATTCATGAATATAGTCAATTAATAGGTCTAGAAAAGGACAGTTCACTTTGTTTACTGTATATAATTTGTATTTGATTTGGTACAACGTCCGTCAAACAGTTTATTATTAACATGAACTTTATTGGAATTGTTTGTACTTATACTACTCATATGGTTCATAATTGGAAACAGCCAATATAAAGATTCAACCTGTTGAATAAATCAAACACATTAATCATTTTCCATGACAGAGACTGAAGAAGATTGTTACATTATTGTTCGCTCTATAAGGTAAAATATGATATGACACGTGACCGTTCAAAAAAGAGATACGTGAAATTCAAGACGGGAATGGCCAAAGACCGAATGCAACTGTTTCGTTTGTCACCGGAAAGAATAACGCTCATAAATAAGTGATAAATGCTCTTCGCCCGATAGCATTTAATAGAGAGTATTTCGTGGCATTAAGAGTAATAACCGGTTACAGGAAATTTGGCATTTATGTTCACCGTTACGTCTTCATCAATGCCCCTCATAATTGACATTAAAGAAGGATACGATCCTAGGACCTCCTTCATAACTATAAATAGTGAGCTCAGTTATCATTGTACAGGACACTAATTTTCTGGCAAACTTACGCTACATTCTATACGAAGCTCAATACAATCTTATCTTCTTACTTTTTGATTTCGCTGCTGTTGTGCCCGGAAATCCTGTTCCCGAAACTGTTATTTCTGTTGTTTCGTCTATATCCCAAGGCTAAGTATTGCATAATTATTCGATTATTTTAATATTTCAGGATCAAATTAATTCACTTATCTAGAAATCACATATAAATTCAACTGTATTATTTTACGAGTAAACAGTTTGGCGCCCACCGTGGGGCCTAGACAACCGTGTAATTAAATTGATCCTTACCTTTTTTACTAACGTATTTTGATTATTTTCTCTTAGAAAAAATCATAAAAAATGACAGATCACAGTGTTAACGACATGCACAACCCCGAGATTTGACAGGATCAGTCTCATTTCGAGGACTCAATCAGTGACACCCATAATGAGGGGAATGACGCTACACCGGTGCATGGAAGATAATATCCTTGATATGTTCGGGAGAACACTCTTGATGATCCTGATGAGGAACATGTCGTTGACGCGGTAAGGGTCTTGCAAGAGCAACATGCGATCATTCTAGGCCACCTCACGCGACAGGATAAGGTTATGACGGAGTTGAAGTAGGCGTTGTCGGGAGCTTCAAATAATGCAAACAGACGAGATCCGATTCCTCCCGGGGTTCCCACGAATCAAACAACGCAGAGGGTCAACAACAACACTCAAAGGGGTGAAATTGGCTCCGATGGGCCAAGGGGGAACAGATCCGGCCTCAATAACGAGAATGATCCTTTCACGAATAAACTTTTACGGTTTATGAGGGAAGTGAATGCCCGCATGGACCAGATCCGGGGTGCGCGACTAGTGCTGGAAGGTCCAGACTCGAAAAAGTAGACTCAGTTGCCATACAAGCCAAGTGCGGCACCAGAGTTAATCCCGAAGCGGTTCAAAATGCCTGAAGTGGTTCACCAAGGGATTGAATCTGAGGAGTTTAGACGCTTCCCGGAAATTGAAGGAAAGCCTACTCGAGTCTCAAGCAACGACCTAGGCGGATGTCCACAACCGGTACGAATCAAAAATAAGGATCGAAGATGATCAAGTTGGTTTTCCATTGTCGAACAAAGGACGAGAAAAGAACAGAGAAAAATCAAAGGATGATTATGATTCGGACAATCGGACTTCGAGTGGCCGGTGCCCTACGAACGGATCGAAGGCTACAGTAGAGGCTTTCGGACAGCGGACATGTTTGTCATTGATAGGAGGATTGATCACGGTCAGAATAATCGATCACTGTGGGATAAAGAAGTGTTAGGATCACGGGATCCTTCTTACCCAAAGTTATCGGAATACAACTTCAACGTCAGTATAGTGGAGTTGGTGTCGGCCATGAGAAATATCAAAGAAGCATGGTTCCCGAAACCGATGAGATCTGATCCCAACCAGAGGGATCCCAACTTGTGGTGTGAATACCACGAGACGAATGGCCACCGGACGGGGGACTGTCAACCCCTCCGGGAAGAAGTGGCAACATTATTGAAGAATGGTCATCTTAGAGAATTCTTGAGTAACCAAGCTAAGAACAATTATGGTCGTAACCAGTACAACACGAAACCCTCGAAAGCGGGAGAAGATCCCCTGCATCAAACAATCAACATGATCTTCGGAGGGAACGAGATTAACAGGGTCACCTTTTTTAGCAGAAAAGAAGATGAAAGTATCAATAACGCATAGCAAAAGGCTTCGGGAAGACGATATCACATTTACGGAGGAAGACACGGATGGATTGCTGCTACCACACAATA